TTTAATTCTATTCTTAAGGTTAGGTTTAATTTTAGTTTAATGTATGTTTAATGTATGTTTTGTATTTTGTATGCTACTGGATACTTGAATTTCCCTCAGGATAAATAAAGTATCTATCTATCTATTTATCATGGACAACCGCTCTCATCTCCACTCAGACTCCACAACCACAGCTCCCAGTACCTCCAACCCTCACTGACTATGACTATGACATGTACAGTTTAGTTTTTTAGTCAAGCTGCTTAAAATATTTTTAAATTGCATACCATTGTACTTGCACATTGAATATTGCTAATAGTGTATATATTTTTCAGTTAAAGTTTTATATTTCTATTATATTTTGTAATATTCTTATTTGTGATGAGATTGTATATCTCTTTGCACACTGTACTCTATTTTATTGCACTATATTCCCCAATATCTTTGTGTAACTTGAATTTTAATAAAGGTATATCTTATCTTATTAATCTAATCTATCTACCTGTATATCGTAAAAATGGATGTACATATAATACTGTGTACGTTTAGTACTATATATCATAAATATGGATGTATATGTAGATAATATTGTACATTTAGTGCTATCTATCATAATCTGTATATGTAAATAATATTGCATACGTTTGTAGCTGTATATGGTAAATATTATGTATATGTCAATAACAATGTTTATTTTGTGCTATATATGTTAAATGTGGGTGTATATATAAATAATAATAAATAATTAATATACATTTTCATATTCCGCTGTTTCATTAAGAAAAAATGACTCACGTTGCCATGGTGACGGTTGATTCTGACAGGTGAGTATTGATCCCGATTGGATATCTGAATGAAAAGAAAAATCAGTTAAATTAAATTCTGTTTCAGACTCGTGGAGTGTTCAGTTATAATTTAGTCACATGTTAATGAATAAAAACAATTATTGTTTACTGTCCATCATCTATCATCCTGACTGTATTATTCTTTATTCTTGGATCACCAAGGTAGCAGCTACTCTTCCTGAGGTCTACTCACAACTAAACATAGATACTAATATGACATATAACATAAAAAGTCTCAATGAGAACATAAACAGAAAAGCAAAACTCAAGTTAAAAAAAAAGAAACATTAGAACACAGTTACAATAAATTTTAAATAAAAATCTTGATCAGTAATTAACACTGGGATTATTAATAACATGTTTTTCAAGAAGTCTTTTAAAACTTGCTTCAGTGATCATAGCTGGTAACTTGTTCTACATTGTGACGGCTCTATACATTACATATCTACACACTGCATCTGTTCTTGGTTTTTGTTTCACTAGATGACCCCTGTAGTTCACTACAACAAATATTCCAAAAGAAACTCAGTAGATTACACACCAACCTCATGAGAGATTGGCATGCAAGCCGTCTGTAGTCATACCCAGAGGACAGGGCAGTGAGAAAAGACCATCTACCATAATACCTGTGGTTCAGATTGCACAGTATTCATTGATGGAAAATGTATAATGGTATCATCTACAACAAGAGTAGAACTGCAGTTATCTAGAACATAAAGGATCTGGATGAATATTCATCAAACAGAATGCAGTAGGACTGAACCCATAAGCAATTAGTTTTGTTAATAATAACTTATGGTCTACTATATGTTAATGGCAATATGATTATAAAAAACTTATTTCAGTTTTGAATTATATTTTTATTCCTTTTTCTAACTGAGCCCCAGAAGGAGAGTAAAAATACTATAAATATCAATAAAAGAAAAAGCAGTAAAATACAGAAATAACAAGTAAAAACAAACAATTAGTTGAAAATGATATATTGAATATTAAACAACAGGTCTCTGATCAACATCTAAAATCTGTGAAAGTAAACATAAAGTCTTGTTTGATTTTATTTTGTGTTGAAAGTTGTCTTACCTGCTGCAGCAAAAAGCGGTCTGTGGACTCTACTTGACTCTACTGGACCCTTTTATACATCATCTGTACTTTCACTTTCCTTCATCCATGGTTCAATTCTCTGAAATCACATGACCACATACACATACACACACACACACACGCACACAGGAGGCTTTATACAATTATTATATTACATGATCAACATCCCCCATTTACTGGGAACTCCCCTTTCTGGTGGTTGTACAGCACTGAAAACATAAACAGGAAACACTTGACTAGGACCAGATTCCTGAGCACTTGGCGGGTATTTTGATACATGTGAGGTCAGTAACAGTTCACACTGTCTTCTTCAGTACCATTTAACACAAATTCAGGTTAAAGCTACTTTAGGGAACCACCACTATACCCATGATGCAGCATGAGATTCATCCACTGGAGCTTGGAAATAAACATCAACATTTAGGTTCTGTTAAATGTAACTGTAAATTTAGACGACTCAATATAGGCTCAGTCAGTATGAAACCTAGTATTGAGTGCACACAGATGTAACACCAGTTAACATCTGTGTAACATTAGCATTATTACAGGACAATCAATGACTGTAAGCAACTTACATTAGACTGATAAAAGAAATGAAATAGTGCTGAATTAACAGCTGTTTCAAATGACAGACTTGAACTTACAAGATACTTTTTAAAGTTCCAGTGTTATTTGAATGTTAAATGAACCAAAACATGTTGTTGTTGTTACTTTTCTGTTAGTAAGCTATTAAAAAGCTATCAAACAAAACAACCAAAAGTCACTGGTTCCATCTTTTCAATTGTGAGGATTCTCTGTTTTATCTCACTGCTGTTGGTTGGACAAAATAATGCAAATTAAATAGGTCATATTGAACTCTGGTTATGTGCAATGTGTAAAATATAAAATCTGTGACATCATAGATGGATAAATCAATTACAAACATAATAGTTACAGCCTGGTGTTGGTAACAGCACACAAACATAAGTGCTGGAAACATCACAGCAGAAGAACCAGGACAACAGCTGAGAACTTTTCATATTTTAATTTCAACACATTTAAAATTCACATACACAGTTTTTTCCAAATGCTAAAACACAATTTTGCAAACTAGGCTGGTTTTATCAAAATACTTACGCAATTCACAAGACCACACACCCAAACCGTAAAATCCCTCATACATCCTGCAGAACGAAGCACTGCAACCAAAACCACATATAGCATTACCAAAATCAAACGTTTGCACCAAATGGCACACACT